CGAATAATAAAATGATAAAAACCAATAACTAATGAATAATTATTTTATTATATTATTATAATGTTTAATAAAAATTAGGATTCATCAGAATCGCACGCAAAAATTAAAAAATAATTATAAAATATTGGCTTGAATTTATTATAAAAATATGAAATTTGACTTTTCAGAAGATAAATGAATGGCTTCTTGTATGGTTCAATTATTTTATTTAAAAATTAAATTGCATTTTTAATAGAAAACTAAAAATATATTCTAAAAGTCAACGCTTCGCGGCTAGAATTTAAATGAAAATTGAAATTACTAGGGGTCACTAGCGCTGCAAGTTTACTTTCGTCGAAGAAAAGGTGAAGCGTGATAATCGATTTGTACACGAAACCAAGATAAATAAAATTCACCTTGAAAATTACGGAGAAAAAATTTTTAATGGAAAAAAAAAAAGTCAATTCCTGAACAGTTGCTGCTCAAATAAAAATTACTAGAGTTGATAGCAGATTTCAACGAAAAGGAGGTCAAGCACGATAATCGATTGGAAAATCGAAGATTTGTATAAAAACGAAACCAAGATAAATAAAATTCATTTATAGTCAGAGATTATCGAGAAGAAATTAATTGCACATGTATTAACAAGGAATAATCACACGATTAAGAATGAATAATAAAATATTAATACGAGTAAGTCTTAAGAATTATTGAATGCATTCATCGATATTTAATCATCGTCGAAGTGAATCAACTAGATAACATTATTTCCAATTAATAAATGTTTACACGCATAATATATATATATATATATATATAAAATAATAATAATAATAGAGAAAAAAATGAAAAGTAGAAAAACGAGAAAAAAAGTTAAAGAGAAATTTTATATTTTTTAATAGTTATATTTAGAACTCGTATTCTAATTGCAAATTTCTCGCCGAATCGAGAATGTATTTTCTCAACAAATATAATGTGCAATGTTCGTGATAATAATTTCATTACGAAACATAGCCGCGAATCAGAAGTGTTTCGAGCTAATTTAAAATAAACTTTGTAATTATATTGCTTTTCTCGATTTTATTAAAAGTAATCGAATTTTATAAAAATATGAAATATTGACAATTTGATATAAAATTTATCTAATCAATTGTGTGCATTATTTTTGTTATCTTTTGAGTATTAGATATTTCATTATTATAAAAAAGAATATTTAATTCTGAATATATTTTTATTTCTTTAGTTTCTTTAAAAGATTTTTTATGAATAGAATTTTTCAATTATGTCCTCATAATATTGAACAATAGTATTGTTAAGAAAAAAAGATCTTAAGAAACAAGTAAAAATCAAATAAGATAAAATTTAGTGAGGTTAAATTAAATTGTAATGATTTTTATCACAGTATTCAAAATTTATTATGTAAATATTATTCAAATATGGAAGAAGATAATAACAGTAAAAAAGATATAAACAGAGTTTTTTTTTTTATTTTTGATGCTAAATAGCAGTAAAATATAATATTTTCTCAAAAAGAATGACTAAAACACTTATTATCTTCAATAAAAAATAAAGAAAGCAGTAACTGCATTATAAAATATTGTTTCTTAAGAAAGTTAGAAAGATTAAAGTTTTTGAAATTTACATCTCAAATCATATAATAATTATATTTGTTTCACAACTGGCAAAATATGTGAAAGAATCTTAACCTGATATTTTATTAAGAAAATATAGTGTATTAAACACAAATGTTATTTGTTTAAAATCTTCTTCAACAATTAAAATTTTATTAAGAACAAATCAAATTTGAAATAAATGGTTACTACTATTTTTCATAATAAAAATGAAAGATTAATAAAAGAATTATATAATGCAACAATACCAATTTAAAATCTGTACCATTTTCATAACAAATAATGCTCTAGATATTAATCTTTGCGGTTCTACGTCCAGCATGACTGAACATATTATTCTATTATAGTAAGTCCAATGTCCAGTCTACCTAGACAACGGTTTTATTTCGGTGAATCTTATGTTTAGACCAAATAGATTATATATTCCGTTATTCGTGATACAACAGAGGATGATTTATCATGAAAAAAAAAAAAAAAAAAAATTCTTTTCATTTGAAACTTTGTTTTTAAGTAAAACAAATGAAAGTGAAATTGATTAATTGCCAATTAAATACGAATATAAATATCTATAAAAGCTAACATTACAAAATTAAGTAAAAGATATGGAAGAAACATTTTCTTAAACTAAAAATTAATTTTTGAGAAAATTAAACGACTTTTTGATTGAAAATATTTAATTTTAACTTTCTTATCATTCATACCCAATCAAAAATTAACCAATCTTCAAATTTGATTTACATAAAAACGCCTCAAAAACGAACAAATTTTATTCTCTCTTTTCTCCTTACTTTTTTTATGAGAAATCACTTTCTATCCAATTATATCAAAAATAACACCCTCTGTACATTCAAATTGCATTATCATTCAAACTGTAATACAAACATTATCTATTTTATTTATACTAAATAATTAAAAGAGAACTAATAAATTAAAAAAAAAAAAATGGAATCCTACCTTGAAGACCTCAGAGAAGAAGCCAGCGCCGATCTTCTCCATATAAAAATCGTCCAATCGGTTCAACGAGGCGACCGCATGCCTCAACGCCTGACAGGAAGCGCCCGTCCTCCTCTTCGTGCCCGTATCCTGATACGCATCACTGGGGCACACGTTCAGGTTGCAAATATTGCTCTCCATTTCGGTGGGCCGCCACGGATCGCGGCACTTCTCCCTGTAATTCCTCGGCGAGGACAACTGCAGCTCCGTAGGAAGATCCTGGGGCAAACAGGAAACGCAGCTCTGCTGCAACGCGTCACCGTTAGACTTCATCCAATCCTTGGCAGGCGTCGACGTGGCAAAATCTCCCCTGCAGTTTCTTTGCTCGCAGGTGGCGGAGGTTGCCGAGGCGACCATGTCCACAATGTCGTTCTCGTTCGCGTGATACTTGGACTTCTGGCAGGGCTCGTCTGTCGACTGGATCACAGAAATGGCGGTGTAGTCCATGGACGAGTTGGCCGTCTCGTCGTTGGAATCGGAAGACCTGCTGCCAGACTTGGCACCCGCAACTTGGCCACCCTGCCCCACGCTCCTCTGCGAAACAGACTTTCCAGGCAAATGTTGCTCCTTACCGGTGAGGAACTCGCGGCTCGGACCAGCGTGTTTCTTCACCAGCTTCGAGGAATCCCTCGGGCTACCCGCGGCGTTGTCCACGTTCAGATTGCTCAGGCTGGTGGAGCACAGCACCCTTTGCGACTTCGTGGCCGGTGCGCAATTACTCGATTTCCCGAAGTTGACGCAATTGGAGTTGGACGAGCACTTGTGGCTGGCCAGGCTCTTCAATCCAGCGTG